CCACTTCCAGCTTTTTTTTGTAGTTTAGTGGAGATAAATTACTCATGGACTTTCTTGCCTGGGCTAGCTTTGAACCTTGAGCTTCAGGGCTTAGTCTGAGTAGTTAGGATTACAGTCATGAGTCACTAGACCCTAGCTTAATTGATTCTTTAAATGTATTTATAATTACTCATATTACTATTATAGCTAACGTCACAAAGCACGATATATATTACATTTAGGATGAGGTTCGTTAACAATGAAAATGTATCCCAACCCACCTCACTAAGTTTCCTTGACATTTAAAAAATGTTTTGTTGGCTTATTATCAAATGTGAATAGATTATCCTTTCTAACTTCATAACATGGCTGACACCAGGATTAGAAAAACACCTGGACTAGTTTCTTACTCACTTCAGTACACCTCAGTGTGGGGACTGTGGCATGTGATTCCTATAAATAATTATAATCTTGCTTCTGTCTAGCACTCTATCCCTTGAGCCATGTCTCCGGTTCCCAAATGTTCTTAATTTATTTAAGTGTTTGAAATTTTCTTCTCACATTTCTGAGATAGATGCATTCCACTTTGGAGACTATTGGACTTACAACTCCTCAAGGAAAATTGGAAAAATAATTTCAATGTCTAAATGTCTAAATGGAAGACGGCAGGACCTTTCTGGACTAATGGCACTGATCTCTCTGTCACAGACAGCTCAAGTTCAGCAAGTTTGTGCAGACTCCTGTGGATACCTCCCAGTATGTTTGGGGGGTGGGAACTAGAGTTCAGCTAGCAAGAAGCAGCCCCAGGAGCAGGTTAGCATGCCACATCTTTTGCTCTGGATACTCACAGATGCTATACAAAAAGAGTAAGCTCCCAGATGCAGTGGAAAGAGGGGAGGAATATTCTAGACTTCTCTTCCTGCAGGTAGTAAAGGCAGACAATGTCAGCCTACAAGGAACACAAAGAGCTAGTACTGTAAGTAGGGAGACAGCAAGGCTTTCAAAGGTACCCAGCCTGTAGAGGTCTACTAACCTGGAGAAATGTACAGAAAGCTTCTTTGGCATGCAATGGGTACTTAGTTGCTTGTATTAGGGACTCAGCAGAAAAGGAAACAAAGGCCTGACCATCAAGGTAGGCTCAACAGACCAAAGAACAAAGCCAAAATAAAATAAAATCAGAGCCGGGTGCTGGTAGCTCAGGCTTGTAATTCTAGGTACTTAGGAGGCTGAGATCTGAGGATCACAGTTCAAAGCCAGCCCGGGCAGGAAAGACCGTGGACTCTTACCTCCAATAAACCACTCAGAAAACCAGAAGTGGTACTGTGGCTCAAGTGGTAGAGCTCTAGCCATGAACTGAAGAGCTGAGGGAAAGTGCCCAGGCCCAGAGTTTAAGCCCCACGATTGACCAAAAAAAAAAAAATCATCAGCACTAATAAAAACCTCCTAACTTTAAAAAACATATCTATATCTATAATGCTATGCTGGGGATTGAAACCAGAGTCTATGCATGCTAGGCAAGCACTCTACCACTGAGCCACATGCCTAGCAGCAGTTATTTTAAAAGTCTTAACAACATAAAATGCAAACAAGGGGGCTGGGAAGGTGGCTCAGTGGTAGAGTGCTTGCCTTGCATTCATGAGGCCCTGGGTTCGATTCCTCAGCACCACATAATCAGAAAAAGCCAGAAGTGGCGCTGTGGCTCAAGTGGTAGAGCACTAGCCTTGAGGTGAAGAGCTGAGGGACAGTGCCCAGGCCCAGAGTTCAGGCCCCACGACTGACAAAAAAAAAAAGAAAAGAAAAGAAAGAAAGAAAAAGCAAACAAGAAGTTAGAACTGGTCAGCCTTCCCCAGGGGAGATAGGGTTTAAAAATGTCAATCAGAGCACCTCTATGCCTCTGTCACTGAGGCCCTTTAGAAGCACGGCTGACAAGCATCCTACCCTGCACCAGGCAGCCCAGCCATAAAACAAATGAACTATTCCCTTCCCCCTAGAGTGTGAAAAATAAACAAAACAAATACAAGCACTTCAGCTGGTTGCACCTGCCACATGCTTCTGGATTTTCTCCACAGACTCAGAAGGGAACTGCCTGGATGCCACGAACACAGTCCAAACAATTAGAGCTTTGTCTTGTTAAGTATTCTGTAACTGGAGCTCAATGGCACTAAACTCTCTGATGACATCTAGAGTTGCCCATCAAGGGACTGGTTAGCTCTCTCATTGAACAGTTTCTCCCCCCTCCCTTCCCACCCTCCTCATGCCTTCCCTCCCCCCCACCCCAGCCCCGTCCCAGTCCTGTTTATGAAACTCGGCTACTTGAAGCGCTGATAAAATGACAGTGTCTTTATGCAGGCAGGAAAACAATATCTTAGGCAAGGACCGAGGGTATAATTAACATTCCAGTGTCCATGGAATTTGTTTCAAAGGAAATCCGAATTTGTTTTGCTAGTAGGCAGCTTTTCTCCAGTGCAGAGATTATGAGTTTTCCTGTAGAATTATTAAGGTTTAGGAGTAGATATTTGTAGTTCACACAGAACCAGCTACAAATCTGCACAGTCTAGTGCAAGGTAGGGGGAGGAGTGTGGGAGGTGGGGGAAGGAAGGGATAGTGGGAGAACAACAAAGGAGGGGTAACAATGTTTGACAAGAAATGTAGTCATTGCCTTACTCATGTAACTGTAACCCCTCCGTACAGCATCTTTACAACAAAATAAAATGTAAAAAAAAATTAGGGCCTCTTATTCAAACAAATAGGAGAAGAAGTACTTTGGGAAGTACTATACTGTAAAGCTTTTTCTTTCTTCCAGTCTCTTGATCTGTTATGGTGTGTGTGTGTGAGGGAGTGGTATTTGTTTTGTTTTGTTTGTTTTTACTTTAGTCTTACAGTCTCTTGGATGTGGGAACACTTAGGCAAAGGAGACCCTCATCAGTACCTGTGGCATGAGTACATATGACCCAGCATCTGCCAGATCCAAGCACAGTGTGCCTAAAATTCATATGGAAACATAATAGACCCTCAATAGCCAAAGCAATCCTGAGCAAAAAGATGAATTCTGGAAGTATCACAAAACTAGACTTGAAATTATACAACAGAGTCACACTAACAAAAAAGAGCATGGCACTGGCACAAAAATAGACACATAGTACAGAAAACTAAGAAATAAACTCACATCTAATTCTTGGCAAAAGTGCTCAAATTATAAATTGGAGAAAATTCAGTCTCTGAATGGTGCTAGGAAAACCGGATATCTAATATAGAAGATTGAAACTAGATCTTATCTCTCATTCTGTACAAAAATCATTCAAAATGGATCAATGACTTTAACGTAAGGCCTGTAAATTTGAGACTACTGCAGGAAAATACAGGAACTCTTTCTATGCACATGAAAGCACAGGAAAAGACTTTCAGAACAGGACTCTATAATCAGAAAATAAGAGGAAGAATCGGCCACTAGAATTGTATCAAATGAAAAAGCTTCAATACAGGAAAGGAAAGAGTTGCTCTGCAGTATGGAAGAAAATAGTTGTTAGTTATTCTTCTGACAGGGATTAACATCCAGAATATATAAGGAACTCAAAAAATTAAATAGCAAAAGAACAATTAATAACAACTCAGTTAATAAATAGGAAAGTAAACTGACTAGAGAGTTCTCAAAAGAAGTATAAATGGCCAGTATATACATTAAAAAATATTCAACACCGTGAGCCATGAGGGAAATGCAAATCTAAACTACACTGAGATTCTATTATTCCAGTCTGAATGACTATCATTATGTAAACAAAAACAAACAAATGCTGGGTAGGATATGTGTTGGCAGAATGTGAATTAGTATAGCTACTGTATAAATCAGTATGGCAGTTCCTCAAAAAACTAAAGCTATAATTACCACATGATCGAACCTGGAATACACCTGAAGTCAGCATGCAATAGTACCTGCCATGTTTATTGAGGCACAGGTCACAATAGCCACCTCAACAATCATCTAGGTGTCTGTCAGTGGATGAATGGGTTTAAGACAATGTGGTATGAGTGGTAGGCAGGCATAATGAAGAGCAAAATCATGTCATATGGGGAAAATGGACAGAATTGGAGATTGTCATAGTAAATGAAATAAGCCAGAATCTGATGAAATCTAGCTTTAAGAAAAAAAAAAGCTGGGTGCTGGTGACTCATACCTACTCCTAGTTACTTAGGAAGTTGAGATCTGAGGACCATAGTTTGAAGCCAGACTGGTAAAGAAAGTCCATGAGACCCTGATTTCCAATTAACTACCAAAAATCAAGAAGTGGCGCTATGGCTCAATTGGTAGAGAGCCAGCCTTGAGCAAAAAGAAGTTCAGGAATAGTGCCCATGCCCTGAGTTCAAGCCCCAAGATGGCACCAAAAAAAAAAAAAAGACATGAAAATAGACAGTCTACTATCTGGGAAAAGAAAGGGACCTGTAAGTGGAAAGGGTTAACTGTCACCATTACTTTACAACTTAATATACACTCATAAAAATACCACTTGTGCACACGTGCATTCACACGTGTGCTCGTACACACACACACACACACACACACACACACACACACACACCCCTACAGGCACATGCACTCACAGCCTTTTAAGTGGAAGAGTATATACGAAAGTGTCAATAGTTATTCTCTCTAGGTCAAGGTATAAAGTGTAACTTTTCTATTACTTTTGTTTTGCTGCAACAAATGTGGAAACTTGGATTGCTTTTGCAATTACAAACACAACATTCTTTTTTTTTTTTCTTGTCAGTCATGGAGCTTGGGAACTCAGGGCCTGGGAACTTTCCAGAGTTCTTTTGTTCAAGGCTAGTGCTCTACCAATGAGAGCCACAGTGCCACTTCTAGTTTTCTGCTGGTATATAGGAGATAAGAGTCTTGCAACCTTTCCTGACTAGGCTGGCTTTAAACCCTAATCCTCAGATCTCAGCCTCTGGAGTAGCTAGGATTACAGGTGGGATCTACCTGTGCCTGACTAATAAACATTTTCTGAAGTAATAAAATGCTTTACCTGTTGGGAGAGTGTACTCCTCATTGGACTTTTCTGTTAAGACCAGTGTCCTCTCTCTATTAACTCTTCTTAGTACCTCCTGGATCATATGGATTTCAAGATTTTCCAGAAGCTTCTGAAGCTGAAGTAAGCATAGGTTGAGAGTTATTCTCTGGATTTAGTTGTACCCCGGCCCCTCCAAAGTCCAATTCCTGCAGAAGGGATTTAAACTGACTTCTCCCTCAGCCAATCTCTGGCTGGGAAATGGAAAGGGCTCATTTCTTGGGCTCCCAAGGTCTATGGGATTGGTTATACTTCTGTGGAGAACAACAATTTTTCTTCCTGGCCTGTACTCTGATTGATAAAACACAATTACCCCTCGCCCCACGCCCTTCCTTTTTTTTCCGTCAGTTCTGGGGCTTGAACTCAGCCTGGGCACTGTCCCTAAGCTTTCTTGCTCAAGGCTAGCACTCTACCACTTGGAGCACAGCTCTACTTCTGTTTTTTTAGGTGGTTAATTGGAAATAACAGTCGCATGGATTTTCCTGTGGGCTTTAAAATGTGATCCTCAGATCTCAGCTTTCTGAGTAGCTAGGATTATAGGTGTGAGCCTGGCAATATAACCCTTTTTTACCCTTTGCTGAACTGCAATCTTCCATTTCTGAAGTGATCTCATGTAGTTTTGTTTTTCCTTAGAGTCCCTAAATACTCTAAATGTAGCTGGGGATTTTCTTATTTTGAGAGCTGGGAGTTTTCTTATTTTGAGAAAAAGAGTTACAAGGAGATGTGTTCAAGATTTTTTTTTCTACATGGATACGTGTATATTTGATTTTCTGTTTAAAATAGATAGTAGTTATATTTTCTATAATTTTCCTTGTGCAGGTGCACCTCAATTGGAGGAAAAGAAGAATAATGAAAATCAAAACTTACGAAAAGAACTGAGATGCTAAGGGGGTACTTCTTTGCTTAGGCTACCATATGCCTTTAAACACTTACTTTTCCCTCTATAGCCTCTTCAATGACATACAATCCTTCCATTTACAATGAATTTCTTAGAAGAACACACACACACACACACACACATACCATTTGGGTCTATGTATAGTTTTACATGCAATGCCATAAAGCAGATTTTCAAAGGCAAATTTAAAATAGCTCTTGCATACCTGATGAGTTTTTATTTCCACTTCTGAAGCTCCTTTGGGGGGCAGAATAGATTGACTATTTATTATGAGTCCTTCAAATTCATCTTCCTTCCCCATCTGCTTGGCTAAAGCCTTCATGCTGGGGTAGAGAATATCAGTTCTATCAACAAAGAGAGAGAAAAATTAGGAAACATATTCTTTTTCTCATTCTGAGTCTTTGACAACTATTTTAATTCATTTTCTGTGTCATCGTGTACAAAATTCCCAGCCCATTTCACAGACACATCAACATCTAAATTTATCACTCAGTCAATATTCAATACTCTGACCTTTTCCCATTGCATGCTTATATTAATTTCAATCTTCAAAGTAGTGACAAAAAATATGAACAATTCTCTGGTGACCAAGAATACAGACAATAATAATTTCATCAGATCGATAGAGGGTTTTTTTTTGTTTTTTGTTTTGTCAGTCATGGGGCATGAACTCTGGAACTGGGCACTGTCCCTCAGCTCTTCAGCTCAAGGCAAGCGCTCTACCGCTTGAGCCACAGCACCACTTCTGGTTTTCTGGTGGTTTATTGGAGATAAGAGTCTCACAGACTTTTCCTGCCTGGACCGGTTTTGAACCGTAATCCTCAGATCTCAGCCTCCTGAGTAGCTAGGATTACAGGCATGAGCCACTGGCGCCTGGCAGATTGACAGTTCTGGTGCTGCCAAGATGACCCTTCTGAAGCTGCAATAGTGGGTATGGCTTAGTAAGTGCTATAAGACATGGAAGAAACATCATGCCCTTCCTGTCAGCTAAGTCATGGCAGCTGAAGTCTGCAGCCAAGTTCAGCACCATCTCCAAGACCTAAAGCCTCATCTACTTGCAAGTTACTATCTTCAGGCTGCAACAACTCAAGTGCTCCGAAACTCATGCTGAGGGTATAGAAGCCAAAGAGAGAAGGAATCCCTAGTAGCTCTCCAGCCAGAGTTCCCTGGAATTATATCACCTCAAGAGCATAGCATTGGCACTGTGGGGTCACTAGATAAGCAGATTGTAGGGACAGATAGTAGACAACATAGTCCAGTGGACTCCAGCAATATCCCTACAGTTACTATAACCCAGCTTTTTCTCACAACACTGTTGGTAGAGTATTGTTGCTGCCACCCAACTCAATGGAAAAGATTATGGCTTCCATATGTAATGAGCCTGGGGGGGGGCACAGGCTCAAGGGTTAAAGGCTAGGTTACCAACTGGTGGCACTATTTTGGGAGGTTGTCCTAACTTTGGTGGTGGGGCCTCGCTGGGAGGAAGTAGGTCACTGCAGGCATGTCTTCGAAGCTTATACTGGGTCTCTAGTCTGCTGCTCTCTCTGCTTTCTGGCCACCATGTTGTAAGCTGCCTGTTCTGCCAGGTCCTCCTCAGCAAGATGGGTAGAGCTCTCTGAAACTGTGAGTCAAATAAATCTGTCTTCTTTTTAAGTTGTTTTGTCAGGTATTTTTTTTAATCACAGAGGCAAGAGGCTAATACAGCATCCTAGGATCCATGGATCAAATCTCACCTTTCAACAAGGGACAGAACCTGCCAACCCCCAGACTCCACTCACTAACATGAGTTTTTGCTTCTGCAACACTCACTTATAGAGCTCTGAGAACTGTTTGTAGAGGGCGATGGAGTCCATGTCCTGGCCTTGCAGCTTGAGTCTTCCCCACTGTTCCTTGAGCACTTCCAGCTGCTTCCACAGTATCAGGAAGGATCTAAGCAGGGTGAGGGACAGCACAGGATCACACTTGCCCTCCAGCAGAGCAGAGGCCTTTGGGCTGCTTTGAGCCTGATTTCTGAATCCTGGCAGTTTGGACCAATCTGGCTGAAAGCAAGATGGAAGTTAATCATTATTGATAGTGGACCAGTATGGACTAACTTTGTACATGTACCCATGCAGAACAAAACCTTTGAAGACTGAGTCTTTTCCTCAGGAGAAATGGTTTACAGGACTGTAGCACAGTAGCATCTCAAGATGTTGAATACCCTTCCTGAACAGACAGTGCACAGAAACACCAGAGATGAACCAATGAACACTAGAAATGAACTAGAAACCCATGAAATTGGCAAAAAACTCCAATAAATAAAAAAAATTTACTATAACCTCACCATGGAGTGTGGGGAAGACTTCAATCTCAACTGTGCTGAGCACTTGCCAGACTGCGGAGGCTATATAGAAAAGGCTGTTTTATTGTTATTGGTTAATTTTTAAGGCAAATGAAATATTAATGTGCAAGTAAGAGAGTTTTTTTTAATGCCACATCTTATGTAGCATTAGCACAGCCCTGGTATCCACTGGGAGAGGTTATGGGCAAGATGTGGTTCTCTCATTAATCTCTCAAGAAGGTTCTTCAGTACAACAGGGCACTGGCTAAGCATGTAGCTATTTGTCAAGAATACCTGTGTACTTTTGTCCTGTGTGTCTTTCCAGCCAGAGGAACCCTCCATGATCATAGGGTAGCTGCTCAGAAGTACATCTTCCATTAGCAGTTGCATGCTCACCACCTCTTCATGAGCCACCTTGCAGTCACGGTCACTAAGCCCACAAAAGCACAGCTACAAACAAAGGAAAAAGAAACTCCTTCCATTTTGAGGACTTCCATGTATTCTTTATACATAATCTGGGGGAAGAAAACTAGAAACAACTGTGTTTATAAAACCCACCCTCTCAATTAGGAGAACAATCCATAAGAACCAGAGTAGCACAGCTTACATCTTCATAACCATATTAGACGGTTGACTTTGTGAAGTAGGAAGTTCCAGACCCCTTACAGCAGATTTGTGTATGATGAAACACTGAATGAGAACAAGAGGCCTTGTATTCAAGCCCCAGTACTAGTACACACACACACACACACACACACACACACACACACACACACACACACACACCAGCAAAAAACAATGCAGGAGGCATGGCTCAATGATCAGAACACCTAATTTAGTAAGTGCAAGGCCCTGAGTTCAAAATTCAGTACTGATAAAATAGATAACTACAAAAATAAAACAAGGCTATGGGCATGGTTCAGTGGTATAGCAATTACCTAGCAAGTATGAGGCCCTGCATTCAAACTCCAGTACTACCAAAAGAATGTGTGTGTGTGTGTGTGCAATATGAGTACTATATATAAAAATACTATTATAAATAATACTACTTATTTAATACAATGATTAATAAGATGATTAAAAGAAGTTAACAATTTAAAAGAATTAAAAGAAACTAACAATGACAAGTGAAAAAAATTAAAAGAAATTCTTCAATTCTTCTTATGAGTCCTGGTTAAAAAGTTCCTTTCTTGCCAGGTAGGTCAGGAGTCACATGCCTCTGAACTGCCAACATCTGCAGTTTCTGCAAGAGGCCCAGACCATGACTAGAGATTGGGGGCCTCTTCTCTAGGTCATTATGCCATGGGAACTTCAGCTGAGGCTACAACCAGGTCTCATTCATACTGAGACCTTGATTCTTCTCCACAGTAAGCAAACATGACTCACCTTAAACCACTGAGTTTACAGCTTCATAATTAAAACCGGGCATGTGTCATAAAGGACAAGCACGGAATGGCTGGCCTGGGCACCTGATGACACCTGCTTTGCAGCCTGAGTTCAGCTCTCTCTCTAAGAAGGGGGAAGATATACCTACCTGCATATTATACTCTAGGGTGTCTGGGATGCTACTTATAACTGGAAATGGTCCTCCATCTTGTAGAGATGCTCTCCAAGGGAACAGTGCAAATGCCTAAAGAACAAAATGTTAGTCATGAAATGTTGTGCTGTATCCATAAGATAAAGGCATCTATCTATGAGCCGGATTTCTGCGTCCATATCCCAATACACTGTCGGATGATATATTTATTATATAAAAACACTTCTGATAGTGCATCCCAATGATGTAGAGGAGAGAAGAGTAAGACTCACTTCTTTTTATTGTTTTTGCAGCAGATGCTTTCAGTGTAACTAGTCAGTATCAGTCAGCACTAATCCATATTTATTATTACCAAAAGGAAAGTGCTTGAATGCTTGTGGTATTAGGAACCTTAAAAAGTTGGCAATCCAATTCTAGAAATCAACTCAAGACCAATGGTACAATTTATTACAGTAGGTCCCTGCCTTCTCCATAGACAATACAAAGTACCTTCCAGGAGGCCTGCCAATTCCACCCCATTCAACACTTCAAGGCCTGAGTATGGCTTCAATCAATTTCTAAAGACAGAGCTGATTTTGATAGCAAGGACACCTGCGTGCGGCTCATCCCAGGGGAGGCCCAAAGGCAGAAGGAGCAGGAGCATGTCCAATAGCCCTGACAAACAGGGCCCTGGCCCAACTCTGTCTTCTGGGTCTAACTGAAGACCAAATGGGCAGAGAGTCATTATTGCATAGTACAGAAGTGTGGTACATGTTGGTGTTGATGTAGCATCAGTTAATTAATAATTTATGATAGCAAAACATCACATGGGACATTTTGATTTGAAAGCTAGCTCCACAAATTCTTTGGTACTCTATGCATCCAGAGATGGGGTTTAATTTTGCTCCCCTTTAGTGCGGCTAGATTCGGGACTGACTTCCAGTGAATCTAGTAAGGCAGAAATGATGGGACATTACTTAGGGAAATTGAAGCAATATAGACAATGACTTCCATCCTGGAGTACTGTTCATTGGATAGTTTTGTTCTCTTGGATTGTTTGTTCTTGGAGAAGTTCTCTGCCATGCTGTGAGCAGGCTCTGTAGAGAAGTCTACCTGAAAAACCTTGGAAGCAAATCTTCTGACATCTACCAATAGCTATGTGATTAAGCTTAGAAGCCCTAGGATGATCATAGCCCCAGCTAACATCTTTATTGGAGCCTCATGAGGAATCCTGAGCCAGAACTACCCACATTAGCCACTTCCAGCTTCCTGATCCTCAGAAACTGTGAGAGATAATGAATGCTTATGATCTTAATCTGTTAAATATTGGAGTGCTTTGTTCTTCAACAGATAAGTTTGTGACCTGGTGTTGTCATGATTCTCCAGGAGTCTAACTCTCCCTTCCCTGAACCTTGGCCCCTTTCAAAGGTGGATAATATTCCTGCCTGGGAGCAGTAATAGTTGTCAGGATAGCATTTGATAAGCCATATGGTAACTACTGACCTAATTTATGTCTAGTAATTGTGACCATTATTTACTTAACGGAAGGGATGAAAATATTTGCGTTGCTCCCACCTGGGAGCACACAAGCTGTTGTCTCAAGCAGACTGGAGCATTTGTGGAAAAAAGCTGACTGGGAAGATCAGGTGACCTGGGTGGGAGGCAGGAGGCTCCTTGTGTGACTGAAAGTTGGGGACAATGAAGACTGTCTTACATTATTGAGACACTTGCAAATTTTAAACCAAATGGAAACACATTGACAAAATTCTCTACATGCCACACACCTTTTATAGGTAGAGAACACCTTTAAAACTCACCTGGAGGCCCTGGGGATCCAGTGGCGGAGGCAGGCCTAGCTGTGAAGCAAAAATGCTCTTCCTAAGGGCGTTGCTCAGTGGTGGCAACCCGTGGCACATGCCATCTGTGACAGACTGGTAGGCAGGGATGTTTCCAGCAGCTAAAAATGTTCTTAACCAAAACATGGGAGACATTGTATTTAAAGCAGTTACTGAAGTTTCTAAAACTCAAAATTGTCTTCAGAGTTACTTAGTAGCAAAATCTCATTTTGACAAGATGCTTCTTCCTCAGTCTGTCATCCACACACCCTCATGGTTCACCGCACTTAACGAAACATTGATGCTCTCTAGACTAGAACTGCTTTGTTTATGTTTTTTATTGGTGGATATTAAACTGTACAGATGAAGGGGTTTCATCATGACACTTTTCTGGTTCAGGAGTTACTGGGGTTTGAACTCAGAGCCTTGCACTTGCTAGGCAGGTGTTCTACTGCTGAGCTATACTTCCAAGGCCATGTTTTGCAATGATTATTTTGAGATAAGTTCTTGCTTCCTACCTGGGTATGTACCTGGACCACAATCCACATCCTCATAGCTAGGATGACAGGTATGTGACAACAGTGTCAACTTCTTTCTGTTGAGATGGAGTCTCTTGAGTATTTCTGTCTGGGCTGTCCTGGAGCCATGATCCTCCAGATGTCAGCCTGTTATGCTACCTGAATGACAGGCTGGATCCATTATTCTCAAGTATTGGTGGAAAAGGGATTGACCTTTAACCATGATCCTTTCAAGAAGCTAGGATTACAAGTATGAACTGCTGTATCCAGCTTTGCCATGATACTTTTATATGTCTATAAATGTACTTGGATCAAATTTACCTTCTTTAGACTAGCACTATTTTATAGAACTTTCTGTAATGATGAAAACACTATCTGTACAGAGCACATGTGGCTGTTGAACACTTGAAATGTGACAACTGTGACTGAGGGACTCAGATTTTTTTTAATAATTGCTTTATTTGTTTTTGTTTATGTGGTACCGAGGAATTGAACTCAGGGACTCAGAGTGCTAGACAAGCACTCTAGCCACTAAGCCACATTCCCAGCCCTGAGGGATTCAGTTTTAAATTTTATTTTGTCTAAATATTAATTTCAGTTAAATAGCTATATCTGACTACCAAGTTGAATACTACACCTGTAACTCTAGAACAAAGATTTCAAATGTTTGTTCAATTATTTTAAATCCAACAGCCAGGACAATAATTCTTGACATTTAAAACAAGATTTGAAATTAAATAAGAGCCAGGGGTCAGAGAATGAATGGTTTGAGTTTTGTTTTAAACAAAAATTGGCTTTGCATATCAAGAGCCATAAGCCCTGAAGACTAGAGCATGAAATTTATACCATAAGCAAATGAGAAGAGGATGTACATAAGAAATTAGCTTGACTTTGTAGCAAGGAAGAGGAGAGTTCTAACGGATGCCTCAGAAAAGCTGTGACATATGGTTAAGTTGGGGTGGGGGTCCCATAGCACAAGGGACCTATGGTCCAAATACTCCATGAGTCAGCAATTTTCCCATCAGGCTTTGTGCCGGCAGGCAGAGAGCAGGCCAACCTGCCCTTTGGGAAATGTTTTGTGCTTGCCGTCTTGTGACAGACCTTGTGATATGATCTATTGTACAGCAGAGCAGGAGAAGATCTTAGGTGCCTCTATAAGGCTGTTGCCCTGTGGTCTTTGATCTGTATCCTTCCAATTCTCCTCCCAGGCTATGGAAATGAACTTCTCTCATCCCAGCCAACTCTCTTTAGTCCTTTCTTTTTCTTAGTGGTGACAGTATTGAGGCTTGAACTCAGGGCCCAAGTGTTGTCCCTGGACTCATTTATTCAGGCTAGCCCTCAACCATTTAAGTTGTAGCTCCATTTCTGGCTTTTTGGTGATTATTTAGAGATTAATAAGAGTCTCATGGGCTTTCCTGCCCCAGCTGGCTTTGGACTGTGATCCTCAGATCTCAATCTCCTGAGTAGCTAAGATTATGGTCATGAGCCACTGGTGCCTGGCTCAGTTCTTTCTTTTTAAACTTCGGAGAAGTCTTCAGCTACATAAGCAAAATGTTCCCTAGGGTAAACATCCCTATTTATTCAGTCTTACAGAACTCTGAGAAGGTCCAAGGAACTTCCTTAAGCTTCCTGTGTCTTTTGATTATATAAGACTTTCCTTTGTTTGCAGATTCAGTGGTTCATAAAATGATCAAGAAGGATGACATTTATCTATCAGCTTTTTTTTTCTTCTCTTACCTTCTGCCTTCTCTCAGAGTTTCCTTCTGTAGCCAGAATCAGCTGGTACTCAGACTTTGGAGCTGAAAAAGCCTAGTTTCTAATTCTGGTTTACCTCTTACTTGCTGTACCATTCCCATCAAATATAACCTGAAGCACTCTGAAGATAAAAGGCCAGGCAAATGCAATAAAGAAAGGGCTCACAGGGGTGCAACACGGGGCTGATGTAGAAGGAGATATGGGTCAGGGTGCCCTCTGTTCCTGCAGAGTGTACTCAGATGAAGTAATCCTGGAAAAGCATTCTAGAGGAATAGAACAGTTTCCTTGCACAGTACTAGTTTAGTCCTGCAAACCAAATCCTCACCATGGGTAAGTTCCTTATGAATTCTGACCTTGGGCTTTCAGAGCCCAGAAGCCTTCTACTGAATGGCCGTCTCGCTGATCAGAACCTTTATGTCCTATGTGCTTGACTAACCCAGGAAGCTATCTGGCAGCAAAAGAAAATGAATTAACATTGTTATTACATTTTTGTCCTACTGAATTCACAGTCTAAGAGTCCTGTGGCAAAGTAAAGAAAATACAGAAAAGAAAGAAAACTTGAGCACATTCAGTACAATGCCCACACTCACATTCTCCAACCACACCAAGATGCAATACCTGGGGCCCTGGTTGAACAAATATGAGTACTATGAATTAACCAAAAGAAGTTGCTGAATTTTGACAATTAAAGAATAAGCAGAGCTAGGTGCCTGGTGACTCATGACTAGAATCCGAGCTGAGACCTGAAGGATTGAAATAGTAAAGATGGTCTGGGAAGTTAAAATGTTAAATGGATATGTGGCTAAACTGAGTAGAGTACCAGCCATAAGCAAGCATGCCAATCCAAGAATACAAAGCCCTGGTTCAAGTCCCAGTCCTGGCACCAAAAATTTTAAAAAACTGAAAATTATAAAAAAGGCAGAGATGCCCAGTCCAGGCCCAACTCTCTTCTCCCATATAACATTTATTCTGGGATCTAGAGGTATGGCTCATTAGTAGACCATTTGCTAAAAACATGAAGCCTAGAATTAAAAAAAAAATACCCAGAAACATTGTGAATCTTAATTCAAACTCAATCCAAATCCTATCAGAATCATAATTAATTAGCCAAATGAAACATTCTTTTTTTTGCATGCAGAATACTTAATATGATGGTTTTTTTGAGGTCAAAGGAATTTATAAATTTAACTACAGGAGCCAATTCTAGCAGTTGCAGAAGTGTAGTGAAAATAAGTAAGTAAGTAAATAAATAAATAAATGTCTTAAGGATTCTAATCTTTAGACATCTAGAATTTTTACTCTCCATAAAACAACCTGAATATTGGAAGCAGGTAATTGTGATACAAACTTCTGAAACTAAACTTAATAAAACCAGGCATATTGAAATAGATCTCACTCAGACAGCTTTGCAGCAGGACACATTTGGTAGCTAGTGTTCTAGAACTGATTGTGTTTCTGACTATTTTAAGCTTATTATCTAATCTTGCCAGGAGTGGCCGCCCTAGCTGGTCACTGAGCAAACACTGGCTCAGCAGAATTTGTTAGGCAGGAATAGCTCTCCAGCCCTTACCGGACGAGATGCCTCACTGCTGAATCGAACTGGAGCAACATAACCTCCCTGTGGAGCAGGAGGGCCTGTGCCACCTGGGTTGGATCCTGGGGGCTCTGGAGGCCGTCAAGTGTTTTCTGCAGCTCTTGAAGCTCAGACCCTAGAAGATGGACAGCATTGTCAGACAGTGTGAAATACAGGTTACTACAGCCAACCCAGTGATTCTTTATTGAACCTCCCCAAAGCTGACTGGTCATCTAGTCAGACTTCCCTTCCTTTGTGGATGTACCAATTATGTACTTTTGCAAGATCAGCAAAGCTTTATTCAGTAGAACTGGAGATCTGACTTATCTTTCCTTCCTTCTTTCTTGCCTTGGTAAAACAAAACAAAAGAAAACAAAGCAAAACTTGCTGTGCTTATTATCATAGTAAGAACATGCTATTGAAACTCAGTTTTGAAATTTATAAGATACTATGGTCTCAAAATAGAATTAAAATGAGAAATCACAAAGGACTGGGAAAGTATACTGCACAGGATATTTAATAGGGACTTGAAATTACATAAATTATAAATCAGCATGCATTTTCATTGTCACACCAGCCCTCTCAGCCTTCCCTGCCACTGGCTCATGGACCAATTAAAGCATGTAAAAAATACATGCATTCATATGCACACATATAAATACATATATGTGCACATATATTTACACACATATGCATCTTTCTAATACATTCTACTCATTTTAGGAGTAAGCATGAGAGGACACTACTTAGCTTATTTTTGGGGCACCTAGTACAAGAGTAGGTGCCATATAAATAAATGTCTACACAGTTAAGTTGGAAATGTAACAGGGAAAAATTTTGGAGCACTCAAGCTGTGTTGAGGAATCTGGCCTGCATCTGGACATCTATCCTGGGGGATCTATCTATGTTATTTGGCCCAGAAAAGGGAGTGAATCTGACAAAATAGGAAAGCCCAGCAAAAAGTAAAAAAACTCTTAGGAAGCCTAAGGGGCTTACGCTCTCAGGACTACCAGAATATCAGCTGGTTAAATGCTGACAGTCCTTCTGAAGATAGTGCTAGTCTTCTACCCAGAAAGGACATTCTTGCTATGGGAAGAAGGATGGCAAAGTTGATCACTATCCCTGCACATGTATACCAGAATTGCTGGAGTTCCTCCCCCTCCCCCTCCTCTCCCTCCCCTTCTTCCCCTCCTCATCCTCTCCTTCCTCCTCCTCCCCCTCCTCTTCCTCTCCTTCTTCCTCCTCCTCCCCCTCCTCCTCCTCTCCCTCCTCCTCCTCCTCCTTCTTCATCTTTTTCTTTCTTCTCCTTCTTTGAAAAATATGTATC